TTACCTTCAGTTCAGCAGGAGGGCAGACATGAAAGTGTGCATTGAAATATGACAGAGTTCTTATATGTTACTAAAGCGTTTGTAATGTCAGAACAGAGAAAATACAAAGGTGTGCTATCAAAGATTTTGTTGCATGAATTGCAGCTAACATCACTTTTTTTAGGGATAATGGAACATTTCTTTCTGCTTACTGTACATTCAATTTCCACATGATAAAACAGCTTTTGGACTATACTACATTTATGTGCTGCTACGAATAGGACCAGATCTTCACATTCTCTCTTTGATTTATATTATATATATAATATATAGACACACACACACACACACACACACACACACACGCAAACCAAACCTCATACATTGTGTCTGGAAACCCTGAATAAACTGGACTCTTGATTCTAATCGTTTTAAACTCTAGGTCCACTGATCTCGGAAATCAATTAAAAAGTTATAGTTCTACTCATGTCATCTACGGTACTAAATGTTCAGAAGACAGACAGCACTCAAATCAAACATTACCTATAAGAGGACAGAAAATACATGTTTCAAATTAGTACTAAAAAGGTACAAAAAGAAAATCAATTCGTACTCTGAGGTCTCAAAAGAAAGATAAAAAGTAATTTCTCAATCCTCTAGTCTACTTTTATGCCTAGATATATAGCCCAGACTGATGCTGAAGCATAGCATAGCTCTTCTGAGCTTTAAGTATTTCTTGGGGGCAGTATGTTCCTATCTGCAGTTTGGCACTATATAAAAACCACACATTAAAACACTTCCCATATTAAACACAGAAGAGGATACTTATTTAACGTTGGGCATTGGCTGTAATTCTCATTCATGGATGTGACATTTTTATTTGCTAGAACAGAGGCTAAATTTTATTTTTAACATAAATTTTCTACCTAGTCAGAATGAGTTAGACACTCTCTCTCAACTAAGCAAAATTTTGATGCTTACCTGAACCCTTATACAAACTACATGAATCATAAGATCTGGGCTGGAAGTATCAAAAGATCACGCTTTCTTGCAAGATTTCTAGCACATCCTGCTTCTATTAAAGCTGGAAATATCAGGAGGGGAAAAAAGTTATTCTCTTGGGAGTTTGGCATGTCAGCTCTCAGTCATTTCTGAAATTAAAAGTGCAGAATAATGCACAAATGGAAAGTGATGACATTTTGGAATGTCAAAAAAATTCTGGGGCAAATTCTCTACTGAAGTCAATTCCAATGACTTCAATTGAGTTAGGCCAACAGGGAATTTGGAACTTGGTTCAATTTTGGGTAAGAAGATAGGTGGAGAAACCAATTTATATTAAACAAGAACCAACACACGAGAGAGAGACTATATTTTTCTTCATCCATCTTCTTGATCTTCTTGATGGGAGTTCCATCATGGAACAAAGGCCATATACAGCCCCTTATAGTAGGGCTCATTATTTAGACACTGTTACCAAACTAGTAAAGCAATGAACTGCAAGTTCTAGACTTTCTAGATGATTGTAGCTACTCATATGGCTAGAGCTGAGAAAAAATACCAGTTGAAGCAATGAAAAAATAAATTCACAGGTTTATGAAAAAAAGCAGAAAATGTTCTTTTTTCCATCTTGAATTTTGCATGACTAAAGGTTGTCATTTTTGCAGAAGGAAAACAAACGCTCCATGAAAAGCTGCTTTTTCCTGTGAAAGTGCCAAATTTTCTTAATATGGCAATTTAACAAAAACAAAAAACTATTTTTCCTAGAGGGCACAATTCCTTCATTTCGTCATGAAATCAGTGTCTTTTAGGGTAATGGCAGGCTGTCTCTCTAAGGATAATTTTCCTTAGACCCTACCTGGAAAAATGTTAATGCTAAAAATAAATAAATATATATTATACACGTACACACACACACTTTCACTGAACAATGACAACATGAAAACTGGTAGCTTTGCACAGCTCTGTATCCATTACTTTGTGCAATTTATATTGTTTACTAAATTTAAAATATCAGTCCATCTAAAATGTAAACCATTCTGAACGCTGCATTGCATCAGTCAGGCTTTGAATGATGTTTGCCATGAATACTGAAAGCTTTCATGTTGTGGACACTAATGTAATGAAACAAAAATCTCCAGAAGAAAATGGAATTATATAGCCTTAAGCATTATAATATGTGGAGTCTGCATGCTGCTCCTTGTTAAACAAGCATCATGCCCCCTTTCTGTCTGCTAGAGCTCCCACTTCCAGCAACAGTTCAGCAGTACCTCCCTAAATGATACACAAAGGAAAATAAGGATTTCAATGAAGCCATACACAATTAAACTGGCAAATATTTCACATGCTATTCTAGTGCCTGCAGGACACCAAGCTTCCTACAGTGCTAACTTACCCTCCATAACCAAGGGAAATGAAGCAGTTTCAGTCTTCAGATGGCATACTTAAATATGGGTTCCAAAAACATTTCAAGCGTTTAAAAAAAAAAAAAGCCAAGTTAGAAAAAGAACCGTTCAGCCTTGTAATAGATGTAATATCTATGGCCCATATTGTGCCATCAAGTTTTCAACAGAACTCCTCATTGCTTTCCATAGAGATTTCTGCTTAAAAATTGATGAGACAATATGACCTATGAAAGTGTTACCTGTCTAAGGACTCAGTTCTGCCCCCATTGATTTCAATGGCAAAACTCCCATTGATATCAAATAGCACAGGATTGCACCTTAGGGCCCCAAGTCAGCAAAGCTTTTAGGCATGTACTTAACTTCAAGCATGAGAATAAATGGGACTATTCATGATTGAAGTTAAACATGTGCTTAGGCACTTTGCTGGATAGGGCCTGAATTATTAAGCAGGGTTAATTTGCTGTGCCTTGATTCCAATTTAGCACTGCCACCCATGGGTTTATTGAAACAAAAAGGAGAGGGAATGAATCAATGAAGTGTTAATTTTGTCTTGTTTAACAAACCTTTCCCTAATGTTTAATACTTTGGATTAAAGATCTGTTATCTGTGTAAAAAAGTGTTAAGTGTATTTTTTCTATTTACCTTAATGGAAAATATTTGAGATTTAAAAGACATTTTCTGAAAACTACTAGGATTTGAACTCGCAACCTTTGAAAAATCCTGCAGAGGTTTGGCCTACTAAGCAAATACAAAGTCATACCTCTGTGGGAACGTGCAGGTGTCAAAGTGGCCACAAGAGGGCTCCATTTTCCCTGAATGCCATAAAACACATGAAAATTCCATCAAGAAAAAGTAGTTAATTAAAATAAACAACCCTATTACAGAGGCTGCACTATTTGATCTTAAAAATACGCCTCTCCATTACACAAGGGTGAAGGAGTTCAAAGAGAGTCTGTCATAGTTAATACACAGAACTACTTACTGTACATGAATTTCAAATCTTAAGTGCAGTGTCTTTTGCTTCTTTAACAAAAAAAGAGAAACAAGATGAAGATGAAGATGAAGCACCATAATTTTCTTACAATTGTCCTATAAAAGTCTTCAAAAATAAGAGTCATTCACATTTTGTATGTGACCAGAGAGATTTGGTCTGTTCAGCACAAAGACTAATGTTGGTGAAGGCAAGTGGATTTTGCACAGTTATTAGAATACCTACTTGTATCACAGCCTGGAGCCCCTGTCAGGATACGAGCCCCGTAGGAGGTCTACAGTGGAGTCATGAGTGAGCCTTCCAGCACAGGCAGGCAGACTCAGGCTAGTGGGGTTTGAGCTAACATGCTAAAAATAGCAGCATGGACATGAAAAATGTCAGCCCAAACAGTGAAGCTTTCATAAAGTTTGAGTAACTAAAAAGGGCGTTCTCGTGGAAGTGGCTTGCAACCTTAAGTACAGATAACAAGCACAGTACTAATTTAAAACAGTGGCTCAGATGATTGAGCCCGCTGGTTTCTGCAAGGCTGGCACTGTTGGTAAGACTTCAGCTAAAGGGCAGGAGAACTTCAACCCCCATCACCTGTGGAATGCAGGGAAGGGTAGTGATCAAGCCTGAATATTAGCTGACAGTTGTACGTATTAGATAGGTCTGTAAAGTGCTTTGAATATAAAAAAAAGCCCATCATCATCATCATCAACAATGCAACGTAATCCTACCTACCAATACGAAGCTTCTCAGGAACCTCTGTTGTTCTACTGACCTATCATAATGCAGACCAGCTATAACCAGGTTCCTTGTAGATCACGTGCATAGCTTTTGTTTGAAGAGGTAAATTTATCACTTGAATATTTAGCTATACTATTTTCTTTATTCCATAAGGAAATCTCTTTAGTTATTTTCAAACAACTGATCTGTGCAGACAGATTGCTGAATTAATCTACTATTCATTCAGATCAATAAAACAATGTAATTCCTAATCCTTAGTAGCTGAACAATTCACTGGTACAATGTGGGAAAAACAAGCAGTGGCAGTGATTTTAATAAGCAAACAATTAACATATTCCTTCAACTTTATAACATTTTGTATACAAATATTGTAAACCCCAAAATGTTCCAAGGAGATGAGCAGATATTGTGGTTTAAAATGAGACTTTTCAACCCCACTATTTAGAGGGCTCTGTTTTCCATAAAAGCCAAAAGCAGGAGAGAGAGAGAGAGAGAGAGAGAGAGAGAGAGAGAGAGCGCGCGACACCCCTTTTACTCTTCCATTGTTGTTCAGACAACAGCACCGCAGCAATGGAGTCCTCAGACTTCAATTAACTCTTGATAAAGGAGCTTTCACTTGAAGGGGTGAGTGGCGCAGGACATAACATGTCTCTGCACATGCAGAGACAATGTAAAGGAGCGGTCAAAATCCATTGTGTAGAAAATGAATGCATGTTCTCCCCTCATCAAAAAGGGAGAGGGTATCGTCTTCAGCTTCCATGCTTCTCCTAACTGAATTTCCAAGAGAACACGGGCATAAGAGGCTAGATAAATGCATAAACCCAGCTCAGAAACAAAAAAGTCTCAGTCTACAGACAAATACAATAACAGAAATATTAACAGAGGGTATATGTCCTTACTTAATATTCTGAGGGACTGATGAAGTTCTCATACTTGTAAGGTCTGTATTCACTCCATATTCTGCTGAGAAATCAGGCTGCATTCTGAAGCCCGTGAAAGCTTCTACCAAAACATATAGTCTCTTCTTAATCCTTGTTTTATTAGAGTCCATAAGATTAAATGCTAAAATCCTGGATAAGTATATCTTTAAGGACATTTTGATACTTAGTTATTTGTTAGCCCTTTATATCTATTTATCTCCATCTAAACTTGTTCTATTCATAAAGCATCTGGGGAAGATATATACGAATTAATGGTTCTGTGAAAATCCAGCCTACTTAATGAACTTACCAGAAAGCTCCTGTGAAACCCCAAAGTCTTCAATAGTCAAAAACACAGGGCAAAATTTATACTTGTCTCCTTTGACCATATACAACTTAGATAGATTTGCTAGGTCTATCTACAGTGTTACACACCACATGTGATAGCAAGTACAGTAGATGGCTTTTTAGTATGGTTTAGCATTTTCTACAGCATGGAAAACTCCCCCCAAAAAACTTGTATCAGCAAATACTGTTGTCTCGATACAGCACTACAGCCTCTGTAAAAACAACAATGAAGAGAGAACACTGGGACAGTCCAGTACAGAAAGATTAATTCCAGATTATTTTATTTATATATTGGAGAAGTAGTGTCCACCTTTCTCCCCTCAAAGCCCAGACTGTCTAAAAGCAGAGGTACTTTTTGACCCCAGAATGGGATGGTGGTTTGGAATAACTGTACTGAGTTACACCAATGTAAGACTACAGTGAGACCTAAATCAGGTCTTTCATGCTAAACTAACATCTCAGGATGGCCACAATAAAAAATGACTCATTGAACCTTCCCCCACAAAAAACTGATCGAGCTCAAACACTCAGTGACATCCTACCTTCTCACCCCTCCTCACTACAGTTTCCCTTTCTCCAGTTTAACTATTTTATTTATTCAGCCCTCAGAATAACATACATGAAAAGCAAAATAAATCAGCAACACCACCACCCCAATCCTCCCTCATTAAAAAAAAGAGAAAGGCATGCATTTTATGAAAGAATAGGAAACAGAAGTAGGAATGCATTAGGACACTGAGAATGTCTAAAAAGAGGCACCACAATTAAATACACTACATCTATACAGCCCTTCTTTTGATTAAAGCTTTAAATCAAGACCCTCTTATCTTGTCTTCCTCTGGAGAAAATTGCCTACAAGTATCCAGAGCCACCTTCATTCTTCCATCACAAGGACAGAATATTACCACCAGTGTCTCATAACACAAATCCTAACAGCGGACACCCTAGGATTTCATTTTGCATCTACCCAGAGATTTCTCAGACGAACCGTGAGGCAAATGGATTTGAGGATGTTTTAAATTACGACTCTCCAAGATACCTTCAAGAAATTCTTCAGCCAATGAACTTTGTGACAATCCCACAAGATGTGCCAGAGATTCCTTGTTGAAGTCTCACTGATGCTGCCTTTTCTAAAGGCGCTTCACCCTGTTGTTTCACTCACATTTGAGTTGAGGGAACATTTGAGCAAAATGGCAGTTTCCTTTAATTCCATTTCTGTGAGGGTAGGAAGGTCAGTGCAGTGCTGGCCTAAAGTATACTGACTGATTAAGTTTTCAAATATCAGAAAGTCTCAGAGTGAAATGATTCTGACTGGCAAAAGCTTGAATCTTCTGCTAAACCTGGTGGGTCTTGTTTCAGAATTCAGGAGGAGCTGTTCACTGGAACATTAGCGGTTTGGTTGTTTTGCTGTTTAGAGTAAATTACTTTCTTGCAGTCCCACACCACCACTGTTCAGTGTAGTTCTCTGTATGTAAAAGAACAATATGATCTCACTCCACACAGAAAGAGAACGTGCATTTCAATAAAAACTTGTGTGATCTCTTTATGTAAATCCATCAGTGTCTTAAAGACTAAACACCCTCTATGCCAGAAAGCAAGCAAACACAAACTACAGCTTTAAAGGTACTGTGAGCTGCAGAGAGAAAGAAATGTAGAGAGGAGATGGAGAAAATAAAGCAGATCATCCAAAGGTGTAATTAGACACAAATACTGTCTAGCTTGGCAAACTGAACATTTCTAGGATGTTCTAATATGCACCTCTACTGCTGAAAAAAAAAGTACAGTCTGTGTAGGAGGCAGTCAGTTCCAGTTCTCTTACAACTTACAATGCTTGTTCAAGACGATATTGTAATGCCTGTTGGTTATAGAATTTCTGCATATAAATTTTGCCAGGGAGACAGACTAAACGTTTTTTTTCCATCTCTCATTTCAGTGAAAAAGCTGAGTGATTAGAAAGTAATGGCTCTTTGCTTGTCCAGTCTGCATTTATACTCCTATTCCCTGTCAAACTAGCAGCATTGGTGCTAGCACTGTATGAAGACTCTCCATAATTCCAGGTTTATTTTGGAAACTCCCTCCCCTCCCTCTTGGTTAGATTGAAACTGTAATGTGAAAATCTGAAATAGGCTCTGGCTATGGGGAGTAAGGAGACACCCTAGTTAACGGAGGCAGCTAACCAAATGGCAAAAAAAAGATTGGTTTTGCATCATAGAACCATTGAGCCTACCAATGTTATTGGAGTTGCATCCGTGAGCAGGGCTCTGCTTTGAGTTCACAAGTGTTGCTAAGCAATGGAAAGAGAGGGAGGAGGAGGAGAGTGCAAGAGAGAGAGTCTGACACTAGGAGTACAAGAATAAATGGAAGATAATACTAATGCTCCTACATAGCCTCATTTACAGTGAATGTTAAAAGTACAAAATATTTCCTGTCATCCTTGTAAACTACTTGCAGCCCGTGCAAAGACTGCTAAAACGAGGTTCTATGTCTAAATCAATGCACATCCTGCAAGTACAAAGTAGTGTTGCATCCTGGAGCACTGACAAAAGCAGTGAGGCACCAGAACTGTTCACATCTGCCTCTTGACTAAAAAGGTAAGGACAAGAGAAACTATTATAACAATCTCTCTACATAGTTTATGTGGATCTAGAAAACAGTCACTTTTAAGTAGCTTATTGTTTAACTTTTGCACTGTAAAGAGATCAGATGCTTGTCATAGCCACACTATTTTTTTTTTAATTCTAATGTTATACCGGTAGTTACAATGTTTTTGATTATAGCAGACAAGGTAGATAAATGTGGTACCTTTAATTGGCTTAACAATGTTTCATCTGTCTGCTTTTCATCAACATAATTTTTTGTTCTGGTGTTATTAGAATCACCACCTGCCATGAATGTACTTACACATTTTTATGGCTATAAACAAATACATTGCTTTTATGGTTTAATTTCAAGGCTTACACAAAATGTTTGTTGCCTTGTTCTGTCAGACATCTCAGTAAACACTAGCGTGCATATTTGCAAAGCATGTATTGCTAGGACTGTAAATTGAATTTCATGTTTCATTTTTTACACAGAGTTTGGATTTTTTTTTCCAATAATCAAATTCTCTGCAGTGCTTATCTTTTTATTACTCTGAATTATAAACCATATGTTGGGGCATTTGGAGCCTTCCAGGTCATTTCATAGGCATTACTCTTTTACTGTGTAGCTATCTTTTTAACATTTGCTAATAGCTCATCTGGAAAGAGAATGACATTTGTGGCTATGCAGCAGATGTGTTCATACACAGTATGAACTGCTAGCATTCCCTAGCCTGAAATCACATCTGCTGATGAACCAGATTTTCACATTTATAAATAGGTGAGATTTTGAAGGCCCTCCCTCTCGCCCCCCCCCCCCATACAAGACTATATATAATCCCTTCTTTAGCATCTTAATACTGTTTTCTACCAGCATGACAGGCATTTCCCTGACAGATAAATGACATATGATAGTGGGTTAGTCTCATCTGTTTCTGTCTAAGATTTTGTCCTATATGCTTTATATTTTTTGTATTTTCAATCCTTATTTAAAAATAATTCTTAAAAAATAACCCACACATATTACAATGCCTCTTTGAGCCACATATTAAAGGGAACATACTACAAGCTAGTCACTGAAACATGACAAAATAAAATTATGAGAGCTAAAAGTTCCCCTAGCCTATTACATAAAGCAAGTCACCTGTTGTACTATATTTCTCAGCATCACACCACCAGGCACTTTCTTCTCGTGGCTGAACAGACACATGGTCAAAGCATCCAAGAAATTATGCCGGAGTACACCATCATGTGGAAATATAAAATAAGATGGAAAAAATGTCCATAAAAACCTCCCATAAAATAACCATTATCAATTTGTATAACAAATCTCTTGAAATGGAAAGCAAATGTAGAATGTTTTGTCTAAAGATATATGTTATATATTGGTTTGCTTAACTGACCTATTTTTGCTTTTCTTTTGTATTGAGAAAAAAAATTCTTTCCTATCAGCAGTAACAGCGGTTACTGCAGGAGGATAACTCCCTCCTGTTACTCCGCTGACAGCCAACAGAGCTAGACAGGAGGAGCAAATCAGAAGCCACTACATTTTAATCACAGAATTGAAAAACATGGTTTGCTGAAGCTTCCTCTCACCTAGAATGATTTACATGGGTTTAGAATGAACTGGCCTATTCTGGGATTATGTTACCCAGTAGAGATAATATGGGGGGAAAAAACCACTGTCATTTCTAGCTTGTTTGATAAGCTGTGTGTGTTTGAACAATTTCAAAGTGCTGTGGGGAAGCAATCACTACAATATATCTAAACACACAGCAATTCACATAGTCTTGCATTCTGAATTTTAAGTTGTCTGCATACATTAAAATATTTTAATTACATTTGGTTTAAATATTGCTATTTTTGTCTAATTGGATCAGATCTTAAATTTTTCCAAAGTCCATTGAAGTCAGTGGAAAGACCCGCACTAATGCCACTGGATGTTGGGTCAGAACTTTCTGCCAGTTTATAGTTACAATAGAATACCCCCTAAAACAGACAATAAATGAGATCTGAAAGGAGAGCATATATCCCCCACCCCCAAAAAATTAACAATTTGAGCACATGTTGGTTTACAGACAGCAGCTTTGGGCATGTTGCACAACATCTGTTACAGAAACACAAGAAAGCAGACCTAAGGCAAGCTGGGCTACTGCCAACTGACTCAAGATTTTTTCCCCCCCTCTGACAAGGCTGTCAATAAATGGACAGATGGCATCCGATGTGCTGGCAGGATAGTTCAGTTAACAATCAAGTAAGTTAAATGATTTCAAATTCATTGTATGCCAGGCATTGTATTCTGTATTGTATCATATCATGCTGTTTCCTAAGAGAAATACAACCTGCTGTTCGGTAGATACTCTATTTTACAATAGGGGTAGCTGGAACAATTTTTCAGGGACTACTGGGTGAATACAGTCTGAATCTGGTAAGTTTACCAGACTGGCTCGTTCTTAATTTTAATTCCATGCCATTTGGAGTAGGGGAGTAGAAATGAATACTAAACTGTAGGTCAGTTGACAGTACGAGCAGCTCCGACATGTACCCTCAACCTCAAGAATATATTTAGACGTAAACAACACGTATGCACGATTATGGTAGCTGATCGTCCCTGTCCTCTACATTTGCATGCCTGTTTTTGCAGAACATTGATTGCCCCTGAAGATGTCCCCCTCATCCCATTCAGCTCATGCAAACAACCATTTTGGTGACCAGCGGCTCAGAGAGTACAAAGGTGGGTTGTGTCTGAAAAATAGGTGTGCATCTGGTATATGCAGTTGTATAGATATAGCTGCATGTGCAAATATTGAGACCAGCTTGAGGCTAGCTGAAAATCTGGCCCAGGAGGCCCATGTGCAAATACTAAACTTGAATATTGGCCAGCTTTAGGAGTTAAAAAATACATAGTGTACCCCTGGAATGCACCATAAATATGAAATATCAAACATTTAATTTAAATATGAGAATTCTTCTTCCTCCCAAACTTAGCTAACTCCCGACGACAAATCAAACTGCTGTGAAAACAGAGAAGCGGTTTTAGAAGATGAGGTGAGTTAGTGAGTCCCAGAGTTAACCAGCTCATGTTATATAAAGGTAGGGAATTCTTCTACTGCAGGAGAAGTGGAATTGATTGGCTCATGCTAGGGATCTAGATACTGGGCCAGATTTTCAAGTGTGCTCAGCACACACCAGTGGAGTCCAGAATTTCAAACACCTCAGTATGTGAGGTCTCAGTTGGCACAATAGGAGCAGTTGGAAGCTAAGCACTTTTTAAAATCCGGCCGTTAGGTGTTTCAATAGAAGCAGAGCTCTTTTGACACTCTGACCATTAGTATGAGTGCTGAACAATTGAAATGGCCCTGAGCTCTTCTGAAAATCTGGCCCATTGATGCCAACATATAAGAAATAACTTGCAACCCTATTGTGCTCAGTTTTATTTTCCAACATGGTTGTTACTTTGCACGTCCACAAAGCTGGCCCAGATGCCAAGACTCATTTAGTCCCTTTTAAATGGTCTATTTTTAAAGTATATGTAACAACTGATTGCATTTGTATAAGCCTACGCTTACGGGGCCTGTGTCCACTCTAAAAAGCCATTGAAAATGGTGTACTTTTTTTGTACAAGTAACATCTATTTCTATTGTAACTGCAAGATTCGAGAAAAATACTATTTTCCTCTTTTTCCATTTTACTTAGCATTTGACAGCACATTGTGTGTAGTCAGCTTCACCCTCTCCTTTGTTATTTGTATGGGACTTCCACACAACAGAGGTGAGGAAGTTTTTGAAAAGTAAGTAGACGTCATAGCAAAGCCTCAGAAATTGGCGGGGGCAAGTTCAATATCTCCAATTATTTTTTACCCTAAATTTGATTGGTTTGTAAGTTATCAGTTTCCCTTTGAAATTAGAGACGGGTCAGGTGTGAAATATCTGCCTCACCTTCCCAAAAACTTTAGTAGTAAATAATTAGTATGGTAATTTACTAGAATCCACATAGTTAAGAATCAGATGTTTGGTTCCCAATCACATGGTTTTCCACTACTACACACAGTGACTACAGGATGTATTAATTTATCTAAAGTCATTTAGTAAGAGGCCCAGGAAAGAAAAAAATGCACGAGGCAGAGGAGAAAAAAGAATAAAAGGAAAAGAAAATCATACTAGGTGAAATCTTGGCTCCCTTGAAGTCAGTCAATGGGAGTTTTGCCATTGTCTCAAGTCTAAGCCAGGATTTCACACCCCTGATTTCTTAACTTAGCTGTAAAGAGTAATATTAAGAACTGGGACTTGGCCTGTTTATCTCTAGGTATCTGAACATTGTCCTTGGGATCTCTGCCTTTTGGGAAGTATTCTAATAAGTGTTCAGCGTTCCATTATTATGCAAGATATTTCTGATGGGAAATCTACTAACTGATTATGTGTGTGTCTAGATTACTTGTTAATGTACATTGTCTGACACAAGGTCTTCAATTATATCATGAACTTACCACGGAGAACTTCCCCTTCCAGCTCACTACCAGAGCTCCACAACAAAATATTTCATTAAGTGTTGGAACAAGAACCAGGGAGAGTTGACACTCTCCATATTGTGATAATCTGAAAAAACCTCTCAAATTCAGATGGCAATAATAATTCTGCCTATAATCAGGTAAATATATCAAATAAAACCTTTTTCTGCTCTCACTTGTAGTGGATGTTGTTCTTCAGGAGGTGTTAATAGACATCATCATAGTTACACTAGAATGACCAGCAGTAGCAGCAGGAGCTGGTAGCATGCTCCTCTAATTGAAATGTAAAAGGTGCATGGCAAGGACTTGCGAGAGTGAGTTTTGGAACGTTGGCTGAGGTCATTAACCAGCCTCTCTGGTGGCTCTCCTTCGTTCATTCTGTTTGAAAAGGAATGTTTCAATTATTCGGCTACGATTGTCAGAGTGGGGATATCAGGCTTCAGAGACGCAACGAAGAACACGGATTACGTGAAAAATGGAAATGGCGAGGCTATCCGTGTCTTGGTGAAGTCAGCGAAGTAGCGGTTCATGACATAGTGAAATTAAATCCCTGCCTTGTGTACGTAGTGAATGCAGGCCAGATCCTCAGCTGCTCTACATCAGTAGAGCAACTGGCCGTAAAGGACAAGATTGTTATACTTGGCAGGCAACCCCTTGTTAAGCCCCCAAAAGGGACATGTCAAAAAAAGTGAAATGGATGCCAAACGTGCATAGAGGAGGAGTGGTACACAACCTTTTACAGTCCAAGAATCAAAGATGGAGTCAAAAAATGAAAAAAAGACATGCAACAAATTAGTTACAAGGTCAGAGGGCAATCACGGGAACAGCTAATGTGTTACTCAAACACAGAAGATTTGGCTCCCAGTTCTCATAGCATTAACGGTTCACCCATTTGTCTTCATCTTTTTAGCTCCTACTAATGATCAAAGATGCCGGAACAATTTTTATGGTGGGGGGTGCTGAGAGCCATTGAATCAAACTGTAAACCCTGCATATGATGGAAACCACTTCAAACCAGGGGATGTGACAGCACCCCCCAGTTCCAGGCTAATGACTGGAACAAAGATAGACACTACAGCACAAACCACAAACAGATGTAAATATATGTAGTGTCAGAACTTCACCAATATAGCTGTGCTGAAAACCTCCAGTTAGGCTGCAGATAGACCCCAAAACTCCAGCCTCCCAGTCTTGTGCTTCAGCCACAGTTTATCCTTCCCTCTTACCAATGTTCAAATGTTATGTCTCTCCCAGTTTCTCCCTGTGATCACACTCACACACACACACACTATTTTGCTTTCTTAAAAATAAAAAATAAAAAGCTTTCCAGGCAGGTAAACATAAGATGTAGTATGTCAGTCCAACAGAGTTAGTAACTAAAGAATAAAATACTAATAACAATTAGTAAATAAAAAATGAAAATACCTCTTTCTATTACCATTAGCCATTCTTGGCTATAGAGGAGTTCTAATTTTGAATACTTTCACTTTTTAAAAAATAAATAGTAAATATTTTATATTAATATAGGTTTTGATAATGTATAAACACATGCCCGTATCTCTTTGACCATTGCAATACTCTAACAACCAGCTAATCTTATATAGTTTGCCGCTTTGGGGAAAGAAGGCAAGGTTTGCTAATTAAAAAATACATCTTACTGGGAAAAAAGAAAAGATAACTCAAAAAAGTGTGCAGGCAGTAAAACCCATGCTTTTCTGTGGTCATCTGACCTACTGTTCCAGACTAATACCTCCTTTACCACATACAGTACAGGACAATATGAAAAAGTATTTAGCAAACAAAGAAAGTACACTTTTTTGGCTATAGTTCTAATTATGTATGTGTAGTTTTATGTAATAACTGCATATGGTGTTGAGATTTTAAATAAACTCAACTACATAATTAAACACATCAATATGTGCTTGATTTAATTTTGAGCTACACCTTTTTTCATATTTTTAAATGAACTTTTTGTGCATAACCTTCTGTATGATCATAGAATAAAAATGCCATTGTAATGCAAGATGGTAGGACTAAGTTTGTGATATTAATCATAATCGGAATTTTCACATTTCTGTGTCATTAAGAACTCAACAGTAATATTGCACTAACAGGACACTTTGCATACATCTGCCATTTTATAGGCACACGTGTATAAATATACATTTGTATCTATCTACGTATAACATACAAAGCAAAAGAAAGTTGGAGTTGACATAGCTTGAACTTCTGTTGCATGCGTGTGTGATTAAACTTAATCTGTACCTGTCTAGACAGGTAAGGTGGTGTCCTATTCAACAGTATTAATAGCAAGGAGGAGATGTGTTTCTTGTGAATGATGTCATGTCTAGTAATACACATTAATTAACTGATGTCAGTATTGACTAGGCAGTGTCCTGGTTCTTAGGGTCTGGTTGTACACTAATTACTTATCTCTTACATTAAGGTAGTGGTAAATTGCCTGAGGATTTAAGAATCTCTGTAGAGAAGGATGATGTAGTTTAATTTAATAAAATATTGCACAATATACAAGCCTCTTCTCTATTTTCATCTCCTGAAAACCAGTTAACTATACATTGTGGAACAGTAGACCATGAATAGATTATATTTTGTGATACCACCTGTAACACAGAAGAACAGAACAATTATTCTAAAGGCCTGAATAGCAGCTACCTGTTCTCAAGCATATTGCCTGAAGGAAATGCCTCCATGTCTCTGATTTGACACCAAAAGAGCTTTGCATTAAACATGCAAAATTCAAAAGGGTCTTAGCTTTGAGTGTCCTTTGATCTATGGTAAGAAAAAAGAAGCGTAAACCAAGACCAGGTCTATCATCTACAGATCAAAGTACAGCCTCGCTTCTTCTTCCAACAGCAATTAAAGATTAGGAGTTATATTTTTGGTGAGAACTATTTTGACATTTGCAGATCTTTCACAAACTAAAATCATATAGTGCAGTGGTTAGGCAGCATGAGAGATATACAAAAAACAATTATGGTGGCAGAAAAGCTCTCTCTATGGAGACAATCTGATTTATGTTACTTGTAACCAGTTGATGTAAGTGTTTCCCTACCTGGGTATAAAATGATGGTTATAGTTGAAGTATGGACAGGCCCCACTGAGGGAAAAAAAGAAAAAAAAAGGGAAGACCCGAGTTTGTTGTATCCGAAACCTCAGGATGCTGGGGAGCAAAGAGTTGTTCTGTTATTCAGTAAACAGTGGGGAGTGGTTCCTGGCAAAAAGTCTTAAACATCAATGGAGGCCCTATTTATGTTGATTTCTTGTGTGAAATCCTCTCCCGGACTGGACAGGCATAGACTGACATAGGTGGAACACTGATTGCAACACTCTTGGATTGCAGACAGCGTATTCTTAAATCTGGCCCAGAAGTGAGTTATCTGAAAGCAAGATCATAGATATTTGTTCTGACCTGAATCTGCTGCTTAAGACCAGGAGGAGAGTGTTAACTTGTTTAAAAAGAATTTTCAAGAAGTTAAGTTATTTTTTCCCTTCACTTCCTCCCCACCAAACTGCAGGTCATCTATGCAGAAACCCGTACATTTTCTGGAACAACAACTGTGCACAGCAGCTACTAGGGGAAAAGCCTGGATTCACTCCCGTAAGTGCATATGAGAGCAAGCTGCAGCACTTTGTACCCTGAGAGCAGCTCTGATCCAAGGGTGATTCATCAGAGGGGAGAACAGGTGACAGTACCACACAGTCCCCGCCTACAGACTATGTAATCTTTTGGACAGCTTTAAATTCCAGCCAGAGCTCCCTGGGAGCCACCTGGCAAAAACTGCCTGGTAGAGATGCTGCATAAAGACTTCTGAGGCTGCTCTGGTCCTAACTGGCTGAAATGGCAACGGGGGAGGGATTGCATGCAGCTTGTACAGCTGTGCTTCACTGCTAGTGGAACTTCCACTGGGGTGTCTCAGCCTAGGTTCTGCCAATAAAACTTCAGCACTGAATCAGGCACTGCATGTAGGAGCTTGAATGACAATTTTGGTGTTGATAACTTCAACGTGCTTCCTGCTAAACTCTGGAATCATGTTGTAATGGAGCTGGAAGATTAATATTCTATGCAAAGACTGATTCTGGACTAAAATAGGGTCTAAACATATTTCCCTTTTTTGTACTTAATGTACAACTCTTTCTACAGTCATAATGGATGCATGGGCCTATGCTAGTAGGGACCTCGGATGCATGTTAAAGCTTAATCCTAGCTAGTTGTTTCTCACATTAACGAGCATGACTCTAGTTGTACTTAGAGTGTTGTAAGAGGAGACACTGGCATTATTATATACTATAATATAATAATCATATGTTTCTTCTCCCAAAGTAAATAGGGGACAGACTTGTCTTGTAGTAAGTCAGGTTGACAATCATCATTTTAACTGTACTGTAAACTCTGGGTTACTGAGAATATGTATTCTTAAAGTATTGAAAAAGAAAAGTAGAATTCAATAGTCAGAATGTATGTTCACTTGTTAGGGTCTGTCTATTTTTGATACCACTGTACTGGTATATGTTAAAAATGCCAATTAATTAAAAAATCCTAAGTCTGCTGTAAAAGCATGAGGATTTTTTTAAACTTTGAATACGCAAGTCGAATGACCTCATTAGCCCTCACTGGAAATATAAGACAATGACAAAAAACTAAACACTGATGCTCATCTAGATTGCAACACTTCTCATTTGACGGTGTGTTACCGTTTTCTCATTTTACATGAGACCTATCCAGCCCAATGCTACAGGCAAGTAATCTCATTAGCATCACTATTTGTCATTAGTAAAAACGGGTCACATCTGGAAGAGTCGATACACAGAATACATATAACCTATGTCCTTCCATAACAGATACTATTTGTGCACACCTGTTATTTTCATGTCGCCTTGGAGCGCTCATGGTGACTTCTGCAGAGCATGTAACACCAGTACTCTAAGTAAAGACTATGCATTAGACCTTTGAGGCATTTAAAAATATTTATCCCAGTTTTAGCATTTTCTTGACTTTGCAGTGGTTCTACATTGTGCAAAGTAGACAAATGCAAGCACCATTCCTTTGTCCGTGAGCTTCTCTCCCCGAAGACTAGCCTCAGGATACTGAATTGAAAAACTATCACCAAAAGAGGGTGTTTCAACCAGTTAGTCTAGAAAGCTGAAGGACAGTGTATGGAGGCAGTGGGAGCATGTCCATGGACAGTTTGTGGGCACAGTATATAATGTAAGTGTGTATGTGTTATGTATACTAGGCCCAAAAGGAGCAGCTGAGATTTGCAACAACAACAACAAAAAAATTCATCCCAGCTCCACTGAACTGTCGTGAATCTGAGCTGCTAACTGTAGGTTCGGCTAAAACCCAGTCTCAGCCTGGCTTTAGATGGGTGCTTGACTGAGCCAAATATTTTGCACTGCCCTAAGGAGCAAATACATAAAACACATATGGGGCATGATAGGTCACCTTTTACCTATAAATAGGTACGTGATAATGATCATAAAAAGGTAAAAAGAAATCAATAAGAGCCATTAATTCATTCAAAATAAGACTATGTTAAGGCTCATACGATTACTATCCAACTGTGGGAGAAAAAAAAAGTGAAATTTTTCCAGTACAGTTCTCTCCAATTCCAAACAAAAACCAAATAAAACTAGGAAAGAAATGAAAAGTACTTAGTCTTTTTTCCATATATTTGCATGTACAGATGAAAATTTTAGGGCTTAAGCTGATTTACCCTCATGTAAGTGAGAAGTAAATCCACTGAAGCCAGTGGAGTTATACCAGTGTAAACACAGATATGAAATCAGCTAATTGGTCACATTAAAAAGAGGTGAATGTGACACATTAATGGATTTCACCATAGTGTACTTCATATTCTGTCCTCTACATGAATGGTTACCAACTAAGCTTTACCATGCAGCAGGCAGATCTCAATTAAACCAGCACTAGCTTCATTGGAAAGAAAGGAGATACGACTAGCAATAGCTCTCACCCAGGATTTTCAAAAGGTGACGAGTGATTTTGGAAGCCTCAATCTTGGGGTCTTCACCTTATGACATTTTAAAGGGCCCTGAATTTTGGAAATCAGATCCCTTGAAGGCATCTCAAGTTGGGATCCCAAAAATCACTAGCCACTCTAAATTCTGATTCTAGTTTTCAGAGATTCCAGAAGAGGAGAAATGTTTCTCAAAGAAAAAATGAGCCAGTAGAAGATGGATACTTCTCATTTAAGACTTTCCATGTGAAAGTTGCTTACACAATAGGGGTCTTGTAATAATATTGCCTTCTAGTTCTTATAGATCTTATGCTAAATAAATAGATCACAATATGCTGTTATTTGTGGGTAAGATCTTGCACACTTTACTTGTGCAATACTCCCTAGAATAGTTTTGTAAAGCTAAGGGCTCTGTGCATGTGTGTCCATGTGTATTTATAGGATTTAGTTGCAGGCAATATAGGCAGCTCTGTATTGGTACAAAATCTAAGGGGAGAGAGGTGTTTTGGAGAAAAGCTTCCCCTGACAAAGTTCTTTTAATGCAAAATTAAAACATCAAGTAGAGTCTTGCTCCTGTTAGTGAACTCTGCATCTCTTCCTATGAGCTCTAGGATCCTTTAATCTTCTGCTTCCGCTGCCGTTGCTCCTACTTCAAAGCGCTGCTGCAGGCAGTGGAAAGGATTCTGACACTCATTTGGGAAAAGTCTGGGACATTAAATCACCTTGGGCATCCATCTATGTACGGACAGCCCTGTATGTTCACTTCAACCACCTGGGAAAATGCAGCCACTTCTAGAGCAGAATGCGGTGCATCTTTACGCAGGACTGCATAACTGTTCAGGACCAGCAGTGAAATGTGTATCCATTTGTTGTCTTTCAAAATGTGTAAACCGTGTTTCTACAAAGATCCACTTGAAAAAGAATCTAAAGAAAATAGCAAAATATGCAAGCATGATAGCTGGGTGCATGTCTGAATGTCAGACTCCTGTGGATTTGGAGAGCCAACAAGTCTGACATTGTACAGGGTTCCATCAATGTGTACAGCTTTTTTGCAAGTCTGGTTGTATTGGAATGTAGCGGAGGACCTGGGAACTGTGCACAACAGAAAAAAAGCTGGAGGAGAGAGAAGGGAGAGTCTGGAGACAGAGAGATGGTTCAGGAAGCCTAAATAAAGAGGATAGCATTTTTTAACCAGCATCTCAAATGCCTCATCCAATTTGCTTTTTTGGGGAAAAAAAAAATCTATTCTAGCATAAGATCCCATGTAAAATTTCAGCTGAAATTGTTTAGTTTGGTCAAAACTGGGAAGGGTATTGAATTGGCTTTATAAAGACTTCAATGAAAGCAAAACTTCCTATTGACTTCAGCGAAAGTGATCAGACTCAATTAAAATCTAATCTCACTCTTCTATCAAGTCCTGTATAATAAATCAGGAAATTCACAAAGCCTTTATATCAATTTTTTATATTCGCTCCTATGATGAAGAAAGGCCTAGCTCCTTGGATGGTGTCCACTTACAGTATTTTGGTTTGGTTTTTTAAAGTATGAAGCCACTTGTTTGACTCCCAAAATTATGCATGCTTTACTGTATCTTGCGGAAATAATTTGTGAATGAAGCTTCAAGAGTTTATGGTACTTAGATTATGTTAATCTTATCATCCTATATTTTAAGGACGATGTTAGGAACATTGTACAATTAAGCCTCCTAAGAATTAGACATTTTATGTATTCAAGAATTACAATCACTAGAGTATTAAAAATAGCTAAACTGCTCCTAAAAAGCATTACGTAAAATTCAAATATACCATGGTTGTTCTACATCAGGATGTGCTTAGATTGTAAATGCACATGGTGCTTGGGGCTGAAACAAGACATGAATACTTCTGAACTGGGTAGAAGTTTTGTCCTGGATTCACTTTTAAACTAAACCATTCCACCCACCTCTACATCTAACTGTACCAGGAGAGGCTGGATCAATTGCAGGCATGCGTTATATGGATCTACAAAATATACTTTTGAATAAGGCTCAGTTTTGAAAGTTTTGCCATGTTAACACAAACTTAATCTCCTTATCTCCTCTCTCCCCACTACCAACCTTACAGGTCCACACTCAGATTTCACTATATAGTGTGGACCATTTCCATTTCACCAAAATGGAAAGTAAAGTGCTATTTCTAAGCTCTGGTCCATACAGAGATATGGAGTTTCCTAACCACGATTTGTATCAAGTATTCTGGAAAATCTGCAGTTACCCCATAGTGCAGGGGACAAAATCCTGGGAAGATGCACACAGAGAACAGTGCCAGAAGTACTGTGCTACCACACAGAGAACGGGCTAAGTTGACACACTAACTGTAGCTGCCACTGTTAATGAGTTTTAACCGTATGGTGTGGCACAAACCATATTTAAATTTGACTATACCAGTAACTCAGTTAAAAATTATAGTGTGAAGAGGAATTTGGTGTAACAGTTCCCATATCTGTAAATCTACATACCCCACTCTCTCTCTCTCTCACACACACACACATATTATCACACCCTCACCCTTATCAAAATCCACATTCACCCAAATAATTTATGTCTCCTATTCCATGTAGAGGAGCAAAGTAATTAAGATGTTTGCATTAAAACTAGCAAACACACAACGCTCAATACACAGTTTCATTATAAAACGCAGAGCACGTTCACTGAAGGTTTGTTTAGTTTTATGTATCCTTCACCCACACATATAACTTGCATAAAAATCAGATGAAAAGCACAGCTTTGAAGTTACAATGTGAAACAAAATGAAATTCTAGGTTAAGTTGTGTTTCAGTTTGAATTTTGGAACTCAACTCAAAACTCAGATGCAAAATTCCAGAGTGCAATACCCACCTGACTAGAAGCAAAAAAAGAAATTGCATTAGCTCCTGGGGAGAGAAACAGGTTAGCACAGTTTCATGGATTAACTGGCTTCTCCTGTATTGTCTGACTTCCTACGACTGCCCCTACAGCATGTTTTATTTAATCTCAAACTGTTACTCAGCAAATTTGACTATTTTTTCATTCCCATTCTTAGGGCTTCTCTGTACATGAAAATTATTTCAGAATAGGACAGCCTATGAATTTAAAGTGGAACAACTATTCCAGAAAAACCTCCATGTGTAGGCTAGCTCTCACTCTTCAGAGCAGTGATAAGAGAATTTCTTCCAGCAATTTTTTGGTGGGATCCTTTTCGACTGCCGTGAACCATAACTTTTCTGAGGTCCCTGTATCAAAAGAAATTATGGATGTTGTGGTCAAACAAGTCCAGTCACTGTAGACATGACCATCCTAAATGAAGGACAATACATACACCTCAAAAGATGACCCATTATTAAATAGAATATATTTCTCCTCTTCGGCAATGGATGTGAAAGACATTTGACCATGCTAGTTCATTGGATAGTGAAAAAAGCTCTGGGGCTTAAAGAAGGGAAAAGCAACACACTAGAGCACACAGCTCAAAGGAAAGCAGAGTGAGTACTTCAAGTATTCATAACTAACCTTTGAACTTGAATGCCTGAGCCAAATTCTGAGCTGTGCTTCTCAGGAGATGTAACTTGGAGTAGCTGTAAGCCATTTTTGCATATCCAAAATTCTGGGCTGTGCTCAGTGGTCTGTCCAACCCCTATGATAAATTAGAGCAGCCTCAGGGACTGCTCTAACTTATGCTGAGGGTTAGCAGGTCTTCTGCCCTGAGGCAGCTTTGACTTCTAGTGGCTTTTCACAACCACTTATGGGCCTGTCCATTCTGCACTTGTTCCCTTAAAGAAGCTGTTGTCTCACCCTGACTGACAATGGGCTGTGAAGGTTTTCACGAGCTACAATTGTTTGTTTTTTTAAAAATAAAATCTACCTTATTCTTTTTGTGGGTGGCAGAAGCAGGAATAACTAAGATATCTCCTGCATGCCTTCCTATCTGGCAGGCCCCAAATTGGAGAGCTCAGGTAGAGACCGTGTTTGTCATATGTTTATCTTTCAGCAGCATCCCACCCCATTAAATTACTCTGTAGAAGTCCAGTATTTGAACAAGAGGAAGCATCACATCAGGAATTTTTATACCACTCACCCCTGCTTGAATGTTGCTTAATTATAAACTACAGTCTGAAAATCCCTTGCATGTCTGCCTGCACTGCAGAGTAAAGATATTAAACAGCTATATGGTATAATCTTTAGAAATATATCCAGCTAGGACAGCTATTACACTGCAGGAAAAAAACTTCTGTTGTCATTTTCAACGGAAACTGGATGAGGATGATTCTGTACAGCCTCAAAAATGCTTATTATCCCCAAAAGATACAGAAAACATGTTTGGGGGAAGTGAAATCCAAAGTACAAACTCATGTCACTGAGTACAGCTGTGCAAAATAAAATTAGTAATGCTTTCACTGGTCAGCGCACATGCTGAAATAGCTAAAGAACCCAGCCAGAAATAATTATGCTTTTGTTGTAAGACCTCATCAGACTTCACTTAGCTGGAGAGGGCTCTACAGTTCAGTCCTTCACTCGGCTCCTATAACCAAGTGTCGCTTAGTCACATTTATCCCTTCAAGCATGGCATTTAAGAAGGTATCATTGCATTCAGGATATAACAGTCTTTGTTTTCTAAAAAGTGTCCATCTAATTGTACAATTGAGTCTATACAGTAACTAAGGCATCTCACTATCAATTCATTGATTTAATCAACCAGACACGGTCTGTGTTTAGAAACAATAATGAAGTCACCACACTGACAAGGAAGAAAAAAATATTAATTTAGCCTATTTGCCACTTTAATGGGCCAGCTTTCTAGCATATTTTGTCTTGCTTATGTCCTGGAAATGTATTCCTTACTGGGTTTGGTCTTTCTATGCGATATTAATTTTAAATTGATTTTTTTAAACGTATTTTGCTTGGGTACACACAAACAGTATTTTAAGCAAGTCTGTTCCCTCAACAGATTGTCTTAAATTGGCTCTGCTGTGTAGCACTATTACTTTTTATCATCCACAGCTGCCTCCCAATGGATTTCACACAGGGGATGTAACAGCCGTCTCTTGAGTCCAGCAGACCTGACAAACTACCTATTTAGTTTACCGAGGCTCCATGCAGAGTGGCCCCCAGAACCTCCTAATCTTTACAACCAGCATCTCTTCTGAAAAGGTGTAGAGTTTGTTTCCATATGCCCATGATTCCTGGATACTGCTGTTCTTACCAACTAGTAAATGAATGCCTCCAGCTAGCAGTAACATTTCTATCAATGTAACAGCCCAGCCCACAGGGATCTAATTTACTGAAACTGGTTAAGTGCTACACAAACATCATCTAGAGAGATTAATTGGCTGTTAAAGTTTGATTGCTTTGCAATCCCTTGGTGACAGTTTGAAAATGAAAAAAGTGATCTTTTGTCATTACGTAAATACCTTAAGGTATAGCATATGCATGGGCTTTGTGTACATTTTCTAAACACAGCAAGTCTTCTGTGGGGAGGAAGCCATGACCTATTTATTTAGACTGAAATTTAGTTAGTTATATTCATTATGGATTTCATTTTCCTGCAGTTTATTTAGGAGTAAAGTCTTCCCAGGCTGCAATTAATCCAAATTAAAATACATTTATGCTGATCATTAAAACAATTTGTTGCAGACAAGTTTCCATTTGATCACTTCCCAACATCGGCAGTCAAGATAACTGCCAATTATCCCTCCTAATAAATACTTTAAAACAGGTACACCAACTCTTGGAAGCTTTCCACTCCATGCAGGCTCCTTGACATTATTTGTGGTAATCCAAGTGCTCGGGAGGAGAGGGAGGATTTGTAGCTTCTTATAGGCCTATTCTGCCCTTCCTTTCCACCCTGAAATCCATCTCAAGTCTGTAGAGAGGTGGTATGTTCTGGCCTTTGCCACTCTGCACCCTGAAACCTACACTAGGCTCTCCTCGTATGAGGTCTCTAGGACTATTCCCTTCCTGATCTGAAGGTAGACCTGGGAAGAAGAATAGCTTCTCATACAATACTATATTATCTCCCACTTGAACAGAAAGCTTAAGCATCTCACTACCTAGCTCTACAAAAAGAGAGGCCTTCCCTTCACCCCTTTAACTGAAGTAAAAATCAGCATCAATCTGACACTTATTTTATATTGAATATATTTCAGTATGGTGGAATTGAAAGGTATTAAACAACTTT